TTTTCACACTTGATCCAACGTCTTGGTCCTATAAAGGAGGTGGTAGCGCAACAAACTAGGCAACCGGACTATAATGCTTTATCACTTTTTCACTTAGCCATAGGAGTTTGACAGTGGGGCTACGACATAGCCCCTAGGGGCACCACGCTCACCCGAATTTGGGGCGCGTATGTGCCTGACCGGGAAACGGTCCTTCGTCAATGCGGAGGAATCCTATATATTCCGGAGGGTCATCGAGTGGTTGACCAGTCTCACGCTATATCATGACAGTCAGTTTTCGGCTTTCTCTACTGAGGTGCTCGCCTGGCCGAACCGGGGCACAATCGCAGTAGTTCTCCTGGTGCCGCCTTAGGCGATAGAGCGGAATGTAAGGTAGCAAAACACAGGAGCCGGGCAAACCCAACATTTGACCAAAGACATGATTCAGAGCTGATGCATATAAGGCCTAACTCGAGACGCCGAACACTCCCTAAGGTATTCGGTCTTTATGAAAACGGGCTGAACAATGCCCGTGGTAATAAGCCCCTGGTGTCCAGGTATGCGCAAAATTCTGACGTGGCCCATGCCAAAACGTCAGCCTCCTCCTTGGTTATAGCAAGAAACCAGGGGATGTGTATCAACAAGAGATAAGAAAAAAGGTTTACGTAGGGTCTTAATCTGAAAAGAATCCTTGTCACGGGTCCCTACTGCACGTCTGCGCCTGTGTCTCCGTTGTGCCGTATCCTGGACGGGTGTAGCACGGTGTTCATCTGGAAAAGGCAGGAACTTAGTTGAAAAAGATCGTGCGAAAATGTATGTTATAAAAAAACAAAGTACAATTCAAAGAATGAATAAAATTGAGCTTTATTGTCTCTTGTTGTACATGCGTGGAGCCCCTTGTATGTTTACGCCGGACTCGTCTAACCGTGTCCGGGGTTCGAACGACCTACTTAGGTGCTTTGCTTAGTGAAGTTGTTTTTAGTGTATGGCTGTCAAGGCAGTCACACAATCTTTCGCGCTCGAGGAACACTCGATATTTCCCTTTAAGGAGATGACGCCTCGTGGACCGGGCATTTTAAGTGTAAGGGATGCATAATGCGGTATTGCGTTAAAGCGGGCAAAAGCTTCGCATCCCAATAGTGCTTGATAGCTACTTGTAAATGGGACGAGGTGGAAGGTTAACTTTTCACGGCGGAAGTTGTCGGCTGAGCCGAACACAACTTCTAGCAGTAGAGAGCCCGTACAATGGGCATATGGGCCTGGCATTACCCCTGAAAGGAAGTGTTGCTATGGCGAATTTTGGTTGGGTCTATCCCCATTTTGCGGATTGTGTCCTGGTATAGCAGGTTTAGATCACTGCCGCCGTCCATGAGGACTTGTGTGAATTGGAGTCCGTTAATTATCGGATCTAATATCAAGGCAGTCCATCCTGCATTACGAATACTTCTAGAGTAATCCTGATGGTCGAAGATGATTGGTTTTAACAACCAGTTGCGGGACTCCTCTGGGATAGGCTGTGTGGCGCGTACCTCTATGGGCACCGCTCTATTTTTCCCTTTTGTCACGTGAAGTGAGTTTACTGCTTTGACTTCTTGCGGGAAATTCTTTTGTATTCCGGTGCTCTGCTTGTGGGGTTCGTCATCGTCCTCGCTTGGTGTGTCAAGCCCCTTGTGTTCGGCGTTGAGTTTGTCGGACTGCTTTAAGACCCAACAATCTCTGTGGGTATGGTTTGCAGGCTTCCCGGGAGTACTGTGGATTTGGCATATCTTGTCCAAGATTTTGTTTAAGTTAGATAGCCCGTCCCTGTTATCCTTAAGGGGCAGTTTTTTATGATTCTGCCGAGAGCTTTTGAATCTGGCATTGACTGCCGTGCTCTTCGGGCTGTTTCCCTTGGTCCGGCGCTGTTCCTTGCTGCGTCGCGGTTTCCCATTTCCATCACTGACTTCGGATGTACTTGGGTCGCTGGTACTGCATCTTTCCAGCCAACTATCCTCTCCCACGCAAAAGCGGGTCATGAGGCTTGTTAATGCGGCCATTGTTCTTGGCTTTTCTTGGCCGAGGTGTCTGGCGAGCCATTCATCTCGGAGGTTGTGTTTGAAAGCTGCTAAGGCTTTGGCATCCGGACAGTCGACTATTTGGTTCTTTTTAGTAAGGAATCTGTTCCAGAATTTTCGGGCTGACTCTCTGGATTGTTGAGTTATGTGACTTAAATCGTCTGCGTTCGAAGGTCGGACATAGGTCCCTTGAAAGTTTGCCCGAAAAGCATCCTCGAGCTCTTCTCAACTTCCAATGGTGTTTTCGGGGAGGCTTTTGAGCCAATGCCGGGCTGGCCCTTTGAGCTTGAGGGGTAAGTATTTTATGGTGTGGAGGTCATCTCCTCTAGCCATGTGTATGTGGAGGATGTAATCCTCAATCCAGACTCCGGGGTCTGTTGTTCTGTCGTATGCCTCTATGTTTACGGGTTTGAATCCCGCCGGGAATTCATAATCCAGAACCTCATCGGTGAAACATAGGGGGTGTGCGACACCTCTATATTTAGGTGTACCATAGCATTCGGATACTTGATGTGTTGCATCGCTTACTAGAGCTTTCTTTCTTGTCCCGTAGATAGATCTAACTGGGCCATCTCTTTGATGCGAATCCATATGCGGATCACGTGCCGGCTTGTGTGCGGCGCCGTTTGCCGTTCTATGTTTTCCATGGGGTCGTCTATCCGACCGAGTGGTCTCCCTGCTTTTTGATTGCGGGGGCTCTACGGCCTCCTCATCAAATTTGGGCAGTAGTTTTCGCTTCGGGTAGCTCTTCGTTCGGCGACTATCGCCGTATTTGTCTGCGGTGTTGAGTACTTTGCTCCATCTGATTCGAAGCGCCTCCTCCGCTGTTTTGAGCTTCCGCTTTTGCTTTTTCAGGCTACGCGCAGGGGCGACGAGCCTTTTGTGAAGGTTCTTCTGCTCCAGCAGCTTGTCCGGCATTAGATCGTCCGGACTGTTATCTTCGCCGGGGACGGATTGTTTATCTAGGTTGTCCTGTTTGGACGGTTGCACGATGGCATGTTTGTCGTCCACCGGTTCGCCCTGCTCTATGGCTGGGTCTGCATGGCTGCTCTCTTTGTCGAGGCGGGATTTTGAACGGCGCTTACGTCGCTGTTTTGACTGCTTTTCGGGGGAATGATCCCTCATGGCGTCCCATTGTTCCTCGTAGTCGCTTCCTTTAGGTGTGTACACCATGTATACATCGTGAGATGAGGTGGTTGTCCAGTGCCTTATAGGTGCTGGTTCATGCTTATCTCCTGCATCGTCATCCATACCGTCGATGTCTTCGGAGTCGAAGTCGAGCACGTCATTTAAACTTTTGACAGTGGCTACGAAGTGGGTGGTGGGTGGGCTCTGAATTTCTTCGTCGTCCGCATCCAAACCTTGCTGACCATAATCCGGCCGGGGCTCTCCTGATAAAGAGAGAGACTTTAGTGAATTCAGGATGTCGCCAAAGGGCGAGTGCTGAAAGATGTCCGCGGTGGTGAACTCCAGGATCGGCACCCAATCGGATTTGATCGGCCGGGGCGCGGAAGGTTCGGAGTCCTGAGAGGAGTCCGACACCTTGGAGTCACGAGCTTCGCAAAGGACAGGGCTGTTGTTCAGCGCAATCGCCATAGAGATAGCAGCCCCCGAGGAGGTGTCCAGCCACCCGTCCTCGGTCGGCGCAGTCGGCTCCGAGCTAAGGGTCGGAGCGGACACTTGTGCGGCCTCCAGGGCACTGTCAGGCGGCAGAGCTAGATCGTGCCCATCGTGACAGTGCGGCATGCTCGGCTGTGGCTTGAACCCGTCGAAGATCAAGTCTCCGCGGACGTCAGCCGTATAGTTCAAACTTCCAAATCTGACCTTATGGTCAGGGACGTAGCTTTCAATCTGCTCTAGATGGCCAAGCGAATTGGCCCGTAGCGCGAAGCCGCCGAATACGAAGATCTGTCCGGGGAGAAAAGTCTCACCCTGGACCGCTTCATTGTTGATGATCGGAGGAGCCATCGGGCCTAAGGATGACGACACAGAGGAACTCTCAACGAAAGCACCAATGTCGGTGTCAAAACCGGCGAACTCGGGTAGGGGGTCCGAACTGTGCGTCTAGGCGGATGGTAACAGGAGACAAGGGACACGATGTTTTTACCCAGGTTCGGGCCCTCTCGATGAAGGTAAAACCCTACTCCTGCTTGATTAATATTGATGATATGGGTAGTACAAGAGTAGATTTACCATGAGACCAGAGAGGCTAAACCCTAGAATCTAGCCTATGGTATGATTGTTGTTCGTCCTACGGACTAAAACCATCCGGTTTATATAGGCACCAAAGAGGGTTAGGTTACACAGAGTCGGTTACAATGGTAGGAGATCTACATATCCGTATCGCCAAGCTTGCCTTCCACGCCAAGGAAAGTCCCATCCGGACACGGGACAAAGTCTTCAATCTTGTATCTTCATAGTACATGAGTCCGGCCAAAGGTGATAGTTCGGCTATCCGGACACCCCCTAATCCAGGACTCCCTCACCTGGCCTGTGACTCTATGTTTGTATAATCTTCCTCCTTGGTTGTGCATGAAGCGGAAGTTCATTATGATGCCAGTGCTCATCCAAGGCCCTAAGCAACCTCGCAACGACATTGATGTGTACCTAAGGCCATTAGTTGAAGAACTATTATAGCTGTGGAATGGAACAGGTGTACGTGCGTGGGATGAGCACGCACAGGAACAATTTGAGCTAAAGGCGTTGCTGTTTGTGACCATCAATGATTGGCCTGCTCTCATTCTTCTCAAGCGTTATCTCGTTCTCATTCTTCTTCTTCTTTTGCGAGTTATCTCGTTCTCATTCAGATGTATAGAAAAGCCAACAAAACACATTACATGTGTGAACATTTTCACACGTTGCATCTATAATAACAATAATCATCAGAAAGACTTGAATCCCCTTGAGAGAAAACGCAAATAAATTGTGGATGGGAGGTGGCAGCCATTCGGTATCTCAGTCCTCTTCTCACCTCACAGCTGGACCTGTAGACATTGTTGGTACTCTGCCCAAATTCTCCATCTGAAATGCAGAGCTGCTTTGGCTCACATCACTAGACATGTCAGTGGCACACCTATCATAGCCATCCACATTACCGCTGCTCCCAGTCGTGTTGAACCCTGCATTCATGCGGTTACATGCAGCCTCAAGCTCAAGGCACTCATGCAACAATGCCACCACCTCAGTCATCGAGGGTCGCTGCTCCGCTGCCTGGGCAGTGCACTTGAGTGCGGTGTCAGCGACTTTCCATACGCCATTTACATCATGGTCGCCATGCATGCATGTGTCCACCACACCCTCAATATTGCCACGGGCAAGGCGCTGACGTGTCCACTGGATGATGCTCGTCGGCTCTGGATCATTCAAGATAGGTGGTTGCCCTGTGACTATCTCAAGTAGCACAACGCCGAAGCTGAACACGTCACTCTTGTTGGTCAGCTGAAGCGTAGCGTGGTACCTATGAGTATGAAATGCATCAGTGGGTCCAGTTTCAAGAACAGTCATGTAACATGGGTTTTGTTGGGACATCTTATATTCAGCAAATCTTACAAGAATTAGCAGAAAATTCACACAAAACTATCTAATTCTCGCATAAATCAGATGTTTTTATCCTTAGATTTGAATCACTCACTTGTAGGTCAATTGTCAAATTTAAGGGAGCAGATTATGAATTTGATCACCCTAGGAGGAAAGGTAGAGCATACATTATGAGCATATGGGTGAGTCATACTACTTTTGAGACAACCAAGGTATATTACTTCAGCTATTAATAATCAACAAAATTGGATGTGCCTGTGTGCATCATGTGATGCAGAGGCCTAGGTAGTCCACTTTAGTAAAAAGAAAAATAATAATTGACAAGATGGTTTTCAAAGCATAATCAACAAGAATTTAGAACAATGCACTTACTCAGGGTCAAGGTAACCATGTGTTCCAACCACCCTCGTTGTGGACACATGTGTATCACCATCGTTATTGAAAGCCTTAAGCAGGCCAAAATCGGCGATCTTGGCCTCCAACCTTGTATTCAACAGAATGTTGGACGTCTTCACGTCCCTATGAATGAGGGGCGGATTGCACCCCTTGTGCAAATACTCAAGCCCTACACATCCACATCACACGCTCTCAACGCTACCACATGCCACCACATTTGGAATAATTGCTTCTATTTCTAAAGACGGGTAGAGAAACTTGATTTAAATCTTACCTTGGGCGGATTCCGTGGCAATAAGAAGTCTCTGTCTCCAGGTTAAAGTTCTTGTGTTGTTGTCTCTCCCTGCGATGCAAAAATTGTGAGGTGAATCGCATGTACTGGAATTTTTGCTACACGTTCTCACTTTTACTACTAACATATATTTATGTTGTCGAAGGATAAGTCTAAATTATTTGAGTAATTTGCATACCTCTAAGATGCTTGTCTAGGGCTCCTTCAGACATGTACTCGTAGACAAGAGCCATGTTATCCCTCTCCTTGCAATAGCCAAACAAGGACACTAGATTCTTGTGGTGAATCTTAGCCAAGGTCTGAGCCTGAAAGCCAAACAATACATGCATTATGAAACTGAATCTAGCGGTATTAGTTACACTCACTTTACTAGATCTTGTCAGTTCTCACCTCTGCCAAGAATTCTTGTAAACCTTTGTTGGAAGATTCAGACAACAGTTTGACAGCCACTTGGGTGCCATCCTCCAAGAAACCATCATAGACTTTCCCAAACCCTCCTCGGCCAATCACTCGTTGGAAGCCATTCGTGATATCCTCTAATTCACTATACGTGAATCGGCGATTCTCAAGTCTTAGTGAGGTGTGTCCATTGTTGTTAATTTCCTCATTTTGCGGCCTTACACTATTAGTTGTTATTCCTTCAGAGTTGAAAGACCGAACAGACAAACAGTGTTAGTTAACCCTTGACCTTGCATTTGTGTGTCCAAAGTTATGTGTTTAGGAGTGACCTCTCTCACCTTGCTTTCTCCTTCGCATGCAAATTAGTACAAACAGAAGCACAACCATCAGTACCAAAAATATAGGAACCGCAACATAGATAGCAACCATAGAGTTGCTCTTCTTCTTTGCAAGCTGACATGAGTTGCCGTTACTACAGAGATTTGTATTATTACCATATCTGGCAATAGAAGAGAAGGTGAGTAAATGGTAATGTTGATCAAGTAAGATATATGGTGCTTTTTGAAGAAAAGGATCACACGAGATGTGTGGAACCTCACTAGAAAATTCTTCTACTAGAATGTACCAGGTACAAACCTAAGTGTTAGGGACTCATCTTGGGTTCTTCTGAGAAGTCCGGAAGGAATTGACCCACCGAGCTGATTTCCTGTTAAATCTCTGAGAGGAAACAAAGTAGTTTCCGATGTCAAACTAAGTATGTTGTGTGTTGAATGAGTTTTGAAAACTTTTATAAACTATGTCACAAATAACTTACAGAAGTGTGAGCAATGACAATTGTGAAAGGGCGTCGGGAATGGAGCCCGTCAGATTGTTGTGTGACAAATCTCTGCCAATTAGCGACATCACGGATAAATAACTTATTACCATACTTCTCAAACAAATTATGTGAAATAGTTGGCTAACAGCATCCTACTTACAAGTACTGTAAACGTTTGAGGCTTGCAAAAGAAGATGAAATGTTGCCACTTAGACCACTGGAAGATAAATTCCTGCATTGTGTTTTTACGACAAAGGCTTAGATAATTTCGGTCACTACTGCTACTAATACAGTATCGGTTCCCGTAAAAAGTGCAGTACCGGTTTTAATTGAAAAATAATATCAACCAAAATAACTCACAAGCCTGTGATAGTTGGTGGGGTAGAAACAGCATAGCTACAATGCAATCCCTTCCACGCGTAATTCGTGGGCGCGCAAGGATCGCCCATCCAGTTCTTTTTCATGTGGTACTTGTCTCTAATGGTCATCATGGCAGAAACTGTAGCATTTCTCGGTAACAACACATAAAGAAACCATTTAGGCTCAGGGATCTATATATACACATAAATATGTTGAAATACTATCGCTTCATGAATCATCCACATGATTCTAACCATAACCGCGGACTCTGTCTTGATCTGAGTGGTGTGAGCGATGATGTTTGGTTTCATTCTAAATAAATGGAGTAAATAGCATAAAGCTACTACTTTACAGGCTAGGGTTCCAAAAAACTATCGGTTTTTAAATTTTCTCAGATAACTACCAAGTCAGGGGTCGGCTGTTTCAAAAAACCCAAAACGCCGAGTAATTATCAATTGATCACGATTATGACAGGTGGGCCCGATGCGTAAGAGCTCTAATTGTTTGACCGTTTGTTTGACCATTAGGGGTGGGCCTGCACACAAATTTAAAAAAGCAATCCGGTCCCTGTATTTTTTTTGTAAAAAGCAATCGGGTCCCTGCTCTCAAATCAGGGCAGCCAGTGGCCCTCCTCGCTCCCGAGCTCCACCTCGCGACCCAGCCTCCTCCGGCCGGTGAGCCGCCCGCCGCCTGCGCTCACCGGAGCTCAACTCCGGCCGCTTCTCCGCCTCACCTCCTTCTCTTCCGCCTCTCTACGCCCGCCGCTTAGCAGTACTGCACAACGCCGTCGGGCCAGTGGCCGCCTCTACGCCGCTGCGGAGGAGGCCGGTGAGGCCGGTGAGCTACTTGTCACCAGGAGCGCCGGCACCCAGGAGCACGGGCCGCCGCCAACCACGCGCCATGGCCAGGGGGCTGGGACTCCGGCCGCCGCGCCCAGGGGCTGGGACTCCGCCCCGCCGCCTTCGGACTCCATGGCCGCCGTGCCCTGGAAAGAGGGAGAGGGAGAGGACGCACGGCGGGGAGCTCACGAGAGGGAGAGGACGCACGACGGCTGCGGCGGCGCTGGAAAGGAGCTCCGCCACGACGGGAGGGAGCTCCCCGTCGAGCACAGCGGCGGGTGCGCTCCTGTGGATCTTGAGCACGGGAGGGACCCGATGGCTTTTTCAATTTGTTTTGAGGACCTGATTGCTTTTTTAAGTTTGCAGGGACACTGACATATGGGCCCTAGATGTCATTTAACGGTCAAACAAACGGTCAAACAATCAGTTTTCTTACATGCGGGCCCCAACTGTCATAATCACGATCAATAATAAAGCACTGGACAATTAGAGTTTTTTGAAACAGCCATCCCCTGACTTGGTAGTTATCTGAGAAAAATTAAAAATCGGTAGTTTTTTGAAACCATAGCCTGTAAAGTAGTAGTTTTATACTATTTACTCAAATAAATGAAACCAGGGGAAAGGAAACCCATTTTCTTTTATATAAAAAAAACATAACTGCTTACTTCCTGAGCGGCAGTGGCTATACCGGTGGTGGGGACGACAGAGAAGATCTCGAAGGCGTTAAGGATGGGCGGGAGCGTGGAGTTGGTGGTGGCCTCCAATTAGAAGATGTATTGGTGAGAGGCATAGTCGGGTTTTTCATTGTACATGACAGTCGTCTCGAGGTACTTCAAGCCTAGAGTTTTGGTGTTCCAGAGCTTGCCATTGAGCTTGACGTAGAACTGGCGGAGGGCGTTACTGGGAAGATGTTGCAGCTCTGCCATGTACACCATGAAAACGTACCTACATATAATTTTCTTTATGGATACTTCCATTTTGAATTTCTTTTGAAGTGTCTAATTATAAGGTTAAGTGCATAAACCCATTCACAATAATTACATCGTTGAAAACGTGGGAAGAAGATGGATTTGGATCCCACGGATATGTATTTGTAAAATACTCCCTCCGTCCTATAATATAAGAACATTTTTTACACTAGTGTAGTGTTAAAAACGTTCTTATATTTTGGGATAGAGGGAGTATCTGATTTTGGTTTGGGGCCTTGTGAACCCAAAAGAGAGAATAGTCAGTAGAGTACTACGTACCCGGGCACTAGATCTTTGGCGTTGCCATTGGGTTGTGCGTCATGGGTGAATACGATGGGTCTGGAGGAGTTGATGGACGTTACTCCGGTTTGTGTCACGGCGGATGGTGCCTCGAAAAAGTCATTGACGTCGTTCTGCACCTGGTTGGTCGTTGAGATCGGCGACCATCCATACCCCGTGGGCAACTTGATCCATATACGGTCATGTGGATCGTCGGGGTACCTGATCCATGGGCAGATTAATCGTTCCACATCGATGAACACACATATATGTTATTTATAGACATATAATATATGTATCCAATTCTATTTATGGCTTGACACTTCGCGTATGTGTATGATTACCTGCGACGAGAACGAGTGCTTGGGACGCGTCCGATTGCGGGTAGAGCCTGTTCTTGAGAGGCCTCGCCTCGAGGCTAGAGATGAACGGCGTCCCGGAGTCGGTGTTCACAAGGCACATCTGCACGGATTCGCCGGAGATGACGGTGATGATCTCGGCAATCACAGGCATGTCGCCGTCTGTTATGTTTACAGTCTTCTAGTAGTTCACGCCGATGTGAACGTCAAAAACGGGCCACTTCTTGAGGCCGTCGTAGTTGCCATGCATGAACATGGCCCGAATGAGATACTTGAGCCCGAACACGAGGGACCGAAGCGTGTAGCAGTTCCGCGCGCCATCAGGGAAGCTGCGGACATTACGCCAGCTCTTACCTGCCTGGTACTCGGGGGAGATGTTGCGGTTGGTGCCGGCATCGGTGTAGCCGGCGTCCGGGGTGTACCAGAGCTTGGTGGTGTTGTCCATGTAGCCCGTCTCCCCCAGGAGACCGCAGTCTATGCTTATGAAACCTGCATGTAGGCACACGGCAGAGAGTGATTGATGAAGCAATGTTTTGTGCCGCTAGCGGCGGCGGCCATGCATGCAAGCATATACAGGATGTGCTCACCTAAGCTATCGACCTGGCCATGCACTTGAAGAACGCCTCCACCACCGCCGGCGACTCCAAGAAGAAGCAGCAGCAGCCACCGGGACGCCATTTTTCTTGTGCCAAACACTACACACTAGAACACAATGTAATGTATGTCCGTCTAACACAAGTTTTCGCTTTATATAAGAAGTTAAGTATATGCAGCACACTTACCCAGTTGGGGAAGATCACATGGAGATGGGGGCGCCGTGGGTTGACTTGCATTTGCTTGCATGCAAGTCAGTCAACCGCCTTTGCTGGGCTCACAGGGTGGGCTCATGGCCAGGGATGCCCCAGATCGAACTTGACTGAAATCGTGGATTTTTCGCCTAAAAAATTGATATGGTGGACTTTTGACTGTTTCCTGCGCGATTCTCGCGGCAGACAGCTCGTTTAACCTCCATGATTATTGATTACTGATTCGATCGGCAAATTGCTGCGGCCAAGCACGTTAATTAGTCTCGGTGTTTTAGAGCAAGTTGCACCAAGTATATATCTTGGACTTGGAGCATATCGTGTGCTTGAGCGAGGTAACTAAGTGCTCTGGACTGGACATGCGGTGACTTTGCACCGTTTTGTGAAACGAGAGAGAAAGAGATTGGATCGGCGCACCAAACCTGATGACCTCAGGATGTATTTATAGGGTGCAACTAGGGCACAAGATACAATTGGTTATAGGAGATAAGTACAATATTAACAGACTCCTACATCCTAACAATATACAGTTTAACACCCCCCTCAATTTGAACTTCCTTCATGAAGATTCAGATTGTATCTGTTTGAGACAAAAGGCGTCTCAGCTAATGGTTTGGTGAAGATGTCCGCGACTTGTTCTTTGGAAGAGATGAACCTAACATACAATGCTTTGGCCGCAACTCTTTCACGAACAAAATGGAAATCCACCTCGCTATGTTTTGTCCTGGCGTGAAACACTGGGTTAGCAGACAGGTAAGTGGCACCCAGGTTATCACACCACAATATTGGAGGACGTGGCATAAAGACTCCAAGCTCTCCAAGAACTGAATGTACCCAGATTATCTCGGATGTACCATTGGCAATGGCCTTGTACTCAGACTCCATGCTGGATCGTGAGACGGTGGCCTGCTTTTTGGAACTCCAGGAGACAAGATTGGGACTAAGAAAAACAGCAAACCCTCATGTAGACCTGCGATCGTCACTGCACCCAGCCCAGTCTGCGTCAGAGAAGCAACTTAACACCATTGACGGAGACTTGCGGATGGACAGACTCGTGCCACGGGTGTACTTCAAATACCTCAAGATCCGTTTAGCGGCTGAAAGATGTACAGTCGTTGGTGCATGGAGGAACTGACAAACACGATTCACAGCAAAGGAAATATCTGGCCTAGTCAGCGTCAGATACTGAAGGGCACCAACCAGGCTACGATATTTAGTGTTATCATCCTGAGAGAGAGGTACCCCACTATCCTTGTTGATCTTTTCACTGGAGGACATGGGAGTAGTGGAAACCTTACAATTCTCCATGTTAGCACGATGAAGAATGTCACCAATGTAATTCTGTTGAGAAAGCATAATCCCCTGTGGCGACGATCTCACCTCAACTCCAAGGAAAAAGTGCAAGGGACCAAGATCCCTGAGAGAAAATGTGGCATGGAGATCAGTAAGCAATTTGGTCGTTGCAGTAGGCGAGGAGCTGGCCACAATAATGGCATCCACGTAGACAAGCATGAACATGGTGACACTGCCACGATGAAAGATAAACAAGGAAGTGTCTGCTTTAGATGCCACAAAACCAAGCTGAAGCAGTCGAGAGCTTAGCCTAGAGTACCAGGCTCTAGCTGCCTGTTTGAGTCCATATATAGCTTTCCGCAGTTTGCACAGAGACCGAGGAGCATTAGGATCCACAAATCCAGGAGGTTGCCGCATATATACCTGTTCCTGAAGAACTCCATGAAGGAAAGCATTCTGAACATCCAACTGGCGCAGACACCAACCGCATGAGACAGCAATGGAAAGAACCAGATGAACAGTGACTGGTTTGACAACTGGGCTGAACGTATCATCATAGTCAAGACCATAGCGTTGTTTGAACCCTTTGGTAACAAGACGTGCCTTGTGACGATCAACAGTGCCATTAGCTTTGTACTTGATTTAAAAAACTCATTTGCAGTCAATGACATTGACATGAGGTGGTGGTGGAACTAAGGTCCACGTGCCATTGTGACGAAGTGCATCAAGCTCAAACTGCATAGCGGCACGCCACGCTGGAGATGCCATGGCTTCACGATGATCACGGGGTTCCCAGCAGACCAGAAAAGCACGTTTGGACGGGTCATAATTAATGGTGTCGTCCGTACATTGCGCAACCTTGCAAGTATGATCGCGTGTGCGTGTTACCATCGTATGTGCAGGCGGTGCAGCAGCCCCGGGCGCAGAAGATCTAGAGGCGGGAGCTGCGGAGGGAATCGGATCCTCCTGGGATCCCGTGTCGCCAGCAGGCGCAGCAGAGGGAATCGGATCCTCCTGGGATCCCATGTCGCCAGCAGAAGCAGCAGGGGAATCCTGCGGCGATCTCGAGGAGGGACCAGGCGCCACGGGCGCGCCTGACGTGGGACAGGGCCGGACCACCGGCTGGCGAGCGAGCATGTGGGCGCCTGCCTATGGCGGGTCGAAGGCGGCAGGGAGAGGGCCAGTGGCGGGCCCTGCCACTAAGGGGGACGGTGTTGGGGAACGTAGTAATTTCAAAAAATTTCCTACGCACACGCAAGATCATGGTGATGCATAGCAACGAGAGGAGAGAGTGTTGTCCACGTACAGTCGTAGACCGAAAGCGGAAGCGTTAGCACAACGCGGTTGATGTAGTCGTACGTCTTCACGATCCGACCGATCAAGCACCGAACGTACGGCACCTCCGAGTCCAGCACACGTTCAGCTCGATGACATTCCTCGAACTCCGATCTAGCCGAGATTCGAGGGAGAGTTCCGTCAGCACGACAGTGTGGTGACGATGATGATGTTCTACCGACGTAGGGCTTCGCCTAAGCACCGCTACGATATTATCGAGGTGAATTATGGTGGAGGGGGGCAACGCACACGGCTAAGAGATCCAAGGGATCAATTGTTGTGTCTATGGGGTGCCTCCCTCCCCCGTATATAAAGGAGTGGAGGAGGGGGCCGACCAAGAGGAGGAGGCACGCCCAAGGGGTGGAGTTCTACTCCCACCGGGAGTAGGACTCCTCCTTTTCCTATTTGGACAGGGAGAGGAAAGGAAGAGGAAGGAGGAAGGAAGGAAACGGGGGGCCGGGCCCCCTCCCAATTCGGATTGGGCTTGGGGGGGGGTGCCCCCTCCCTTGCTCCTTTCCCCTCCATTCCACTAAAGCCCATTAAGGCCCATATACCTCCCGGGGGGTCCGATAACCTCCCGGAGCTCCAGTATTGTCCCAATCTCACCCGGAATCATTCCGGTGTCCAAATATAGTCGTCCAATATATCGATCTTTATGTCTCGACCATTTCGAGACTCCTTGTTATGTCCGTGATCACATCCGTGACTCCGAACTACCTTCGGTACATCAAAACACATAAACTCATAATATAACAGTCATCTAACTTTAAGCGTGCGGACCCTACGGGTTCGAGAACTATGTAGACATGACCGAGATATGTCTCCGGTCAATAACCAATAGCGGAACCGGGATGCTCATATTGGCTTCTACATATTCTCCGAAGATCTTTATCGGTCAAACCGCATAACAACATACGTTGTTCCCTTTGTCATCGGTATGTTACTTGCCCGAGATTCGATCGTCGGTATCTCAATACCTAGTTCAATCTCGTTACCGGCAAGTCTCTTTACTCGTTACGTAATGCATCATTCCGTAACTAACTCATTAGCTACATTTCTTGCAAGGCTTATAGTGATGTGCATTACCGAGAGGGCCCAGAGATACCTCTCCGACAATCGGAGTGACAAATCCTAATCTCGAAATACTCCAACTCAACATGTACCTTCAGAGACACCTGTAGAGCTCCTTTATAATCACCCAGTTACATTGTGACGTTTGGTAGCACACAAAGTGTTCCTCCGATAAACGGGAGTTGCATAATCTCATAGTTATAGGAACATGTATAAGTCATGAAGAAATCAATAGCAACATACTAAATGATCAAGTGCTAAGCTAACGGAATGGGTCAAGTCAATCACATCATTCTCCTAATGATGTGATCCCGTTAATCAAATGACAACGCATGTCTATGGTTAGGAAACACAACCATCTTTGATCAACGAGCTAGTTAAGTAGAGGCATAGTAGTGACACTATGTTTGTCTATGTATTCACACATGTATTATGTTTCCGGTTAATACAATTCTAGCATGAATAATAAACATTTATCATGATATAAGGAAATAAATAATAACTTTATTATTGCCTCTAGGGAATATTTCCTTCAGTCTCCCACTTGCACTAGAGTCAATAATCTAGATTACATAGTAATGATTCTAACACCCATGGAGCCTTGGTGCTGATCATGTTTTGCTCGTGGAAGAGGCTTAGTTAACGGGTCTGCAACATTCAGATCCGTATGTATCTTGCAAATCTCTATGTCTCCCACCTGGACTTGTTCCCGGATGGAATTGAAGCGTCTTTTTATGTGCTTTGTCCTCTTGTGAAATCTGGATTCCTTTGCCAAGGCAATTGCACCAGTATTGTCACAGAAGATTTTCATTGGTCCCGATGCACTAGGTATGATACCTAGATCGGATATGAACTCCTTCATCTAGACTCCTTCATTTGCTGGTTCCGAAGCAGCTATGTACTCCGCTTCACATGTAGATCCCGCCACGACGCTTTGTTTAGAACTGCACCAACTAACAGCTCCACCATTCAATATAAACACGTATCCGGTTTGCGATTTAGAATCGTCCGGATCAGTGTCAAAAGTTGCATCGATGTAACCATTTACAACTAGCTCTTTGTCACCTCCATAAACGAGAAATATATCCTTAGTCGTTTTCAGGTATTTCAGGATATTCTTGACTGCTGTCCAGTGATCCACTCCTTGATTACTTCGGTACCTTCCTGCCAAACTTA